TCCCCTGCCCTAGTCCTGAGCCTCTCCAATGCCCCAAATCCCTCATCCCCAGCCCTCACCCCTGCACCCCCTCCTATCCCCAAACTCCATCCCAGAGCCTGCACCCCCACCCCATGCCCCAGCCTGGAGCCTGCACCCAGCACCCAAACTCCCTCCCAGAGTCTGCACCCCAGACCCACTCCCCCATCCAAACTCCCTCCCAGAACCTTAGGCAGGTGGGGGGTGGAGTTTGGGGGGGCAGTTCTGGGCACCACCAAAATTTCTACAAACCTGACACCCCTGGAAGAGGCAGAGCAGGGGTGGAGTGGTGGTGCAGCCCAGTGCAGTGGGGGGGCTTTAATGAGTGTATATATTTTATCAAAACTGCTTGGAGGAGGAGGTGGAGAAGAGACGGAGCAGGGGCGGGGCCTCATGGAAGGGATGGAGTGGGGGCGGGGCCAGGGGCCCGGCCAGGGGGGTGTCAGTGATGCGGCCCTCGGGCCAATGCACTAGTCCTCATGTGGCCCTCATGCTACACTACTGTGCTTCTGATCAATGGAGGAAGCAGAGTTGGAGCCACCTCAATGTAAAAGAAAGGGAACTGCTGGCAGGGCTTCCCGGTGGTCTCCGAGAGCCCAGTTTGTTAACCTTCCAAAGCTCATCTTTTTTTACAGACATCTGAGGAGGGAGCAGGGAGGAATCAGGTTGGGAGGGGTTGTTGATTGGTTTATGGCAGGATTAAGTTTGATAGGATTTGCTCTGACTGTAAATGTAAAGGGATATAAGCAATTCTACTGGTTATTGTAAATGAATATTTTGTAAAGGCGCTCACAGCTTGGGATGGGCATTGTCTGAATGCTGTCTCTGAGCGGGGAACGTGTGGCGCTCCAAAACCCTACCACCATCAGATCGGCAGCATTCAAATTCAGAGGACAAGTTGGGGAACTCGAAGGAGATCTGCTGGAGCAAGGCTATCCTCATAATACTGATGGGTAGATCTCAATTTGTGGAGGATTTTGGCCATGATGGACCATTTGGAGCACATTTCATGGCTCTTCTGCTGCTTTTTAAACTTGCTGGCAAAACTGTAGGTCAGAAATATCATGGGAAGACGGTGTGAAAACACAAATGAAAATGCCTTTAATCATTCTCAGGGCTCACCCTAGACTTGTGCATAACAACATTCTGAGTAATAACATTGTAAATGTGAATATGACGAGAGAAACTACCTGAGACTATTACTGCTAGACCTCTACTATTGGCTAAAAGGATCACATGAGCTAGAAATTAAACTATAACACACTCAACAAAGAGTGACTAGACCTGCAACACATTTGGAGCAATTTTTAAAAATATAATGAAATAACTCCTGAATTTATGGTCACTTTTCCACCTATTTTAAACTAAAAACTTCAACTTCAGTATAATGTGTTAAACGCATTGGCCTTTTTTTAGAATTGCAAATCTGAAAATAACTGCTCCATGTCCATGGTATATGTCTGTGTTTGTATTGCATGCTGAAATTACCATTCTAAGTTTGTCAGGAGCCTAATTGAAATTGGCTTAGCCCTAATACAAAGCACTGGAATGACTAATCACTATGTAAAACCCAACTAAATAAGATTATATGTATAAAGAAGTGCAAATTCCTACTTATCAGATGACATTACCAGTCTATAAGGTAATGAAGTCTTTTTTCCATCTGAAAAAGCTCATGTAAAAGTATAGGGCCTACTCCTGAAAACCTTTGTGAGTGGCCCTTATTCACACACGCAAGCTTATTGATTGCAGGGGGAGTTAGGAATGATCAAGTGAGGAAGAGTTTGCCAGGTGTAGTTTTCATTTCAGCAGATAAGGCAGTTAAAGGGAACTACATTAATAACACAAAATACAATCTATAGTATTATTACTGAATACTATCACTTTGAAGTGCAAATTATATCGGATAACACAATGTTCAAAATAAAATAGACTCCTGTAATATCTTCACTACTCCTTAAAAACATATCAAAAAGCAGTGCAGCCCACTAACGTTATCCAACTTCAAACTGTCCGACTATTGCTCACCTAGTGCACTAGTTTCAATTATTTACACAATATTTTACTAGAAAATAACATTTGAGCCACAGGTAAATCAAACATAATGCATAAAAGAAAAAACAGTTTGCTAGTGGACCATATAGCTACGTACCGGATTCTAATCTTAGGGTACAAATACACCAGAAGATGTGATTGTACAGTGGTAGACATACCTTTCCCAGCTTTAATCCAGCTAGAATGGGTAAAAATAGTAGTGAAGATGGACTTCAACCCAAGTATGTACCAAGAGTCCTTGGCCTACTCACGCTACAATCACACCTTTTTTTGCTATGTAGACGTACCTTAGGGTAGGTCTACACTTACCGCCGGACCCGTAGGTAAGCAATCGATCTTCTGGGATTGATCCCGGAAGTGCTCGCCGTCGACGCCGGTACTCCAGCTCGGCGAGAGGAGTACGCGGCATCGACAGGGGAGCCTGCCTGCCACGTCTGGACCCGCGGTAAGTTCGAACTAAGGTACTTCGAATTCAGCTACGTTATTAACGTAGCTGAATTTGCGTACCTTAGTTCGAAGTGGGGAGGTTAGTGTGGACCAGGCCTTAGTTACACCAACCACAAGTAACTTGACTAAAGTTAATTCACTTACACTGGAGTGAAATCGGTGTAAGTGAGATCAGAATCAGGCCCAAAATGTAGGTTTCTTTAATGGAATCCTCCAATGAAAAATATTTTATTAGAGGGTTTTTTTTATTTCTTATCATTAACAAACAAATCCCTACAAAGATAGTTAGCTTTACAGAGGGAAGCAATCATGCCTTTCAAATTATACTGTGAAATTACTATAAAAATAATACAGGAGGAAACATACCTTTCAGAGACCCACATTTAAATAATTTTATATTTTAATTGAAATTTCACAATTAAAGGACTTGATTCTGCCGTTCCAACTTAGGCAAAACTCCCACTGACTTTAATGGATTATGCCTGAATAAGGTCTCTAAGACCAGAACCTAAGAAGTAACAAAACTGTAGAGCTTTGTTTAAAAAAAAAAAAAAACTAGAGTTCTGTATTACTCTTGGTGACTTAACACATGAAGGGTATGATTCTGCTTCAGTCAAAGACAAAACTTACATTAACTTCAGTGGGAACAGGATCGGGCCTTAATGCATTAATCTGTCTTATAAAGTGTGTGTGAAAACTCAATTAGTTCCATTCTGTTAGAACATCTTACTGATCAAAGAAAAGTGAAACTGCTAGGAGGCACTAACTGATTTGGAAATTGCCAGATGAGAACAGAAAATAAACTATTTCACTGAAAACATATTGTAGTATTTATAACTGACTCACAGATCTCTTAATACAAGCTTAAGCAAATCACCACATGTCCCTGTTGCCCAAAATATTCAGACTTTATTGCCAGCTGTGATCATCTGCATATTTGATCTGCATGTTATTAGTGACTGTGAGACATGATGCAAATAATTAAATTTGGCTATTTTCACTTTTATAATGCTTGGCTTTAGAAAGCACTCTCTTTCTTGTCATTTTCTGTGCCCTCCATTTATACTATATAAAAAATAGAATGCACTCAAAGACAATGGCAAATAAAAATACTTAGGATTGGGAACAATTTTGTCAGTTTAATATTTCTTGCAATGCTGAACCTAGATTTCAATAATATTCACGTTACAGAAATGGAATATTTTAGCACCTTTGTTTCATGGCACCTCTGCTGCTATTTTATTTATAGTTCTGTTTTAACAACTGGTCGGGAATGAAAAAGTGAGAAAAGCATTACAATGTAATCAAGTATGAGAAAGAGATCACTAGGGCATATGCCTTTTTTAGACCATTGTAGGCTTATGTATAAAATAATTTGAAAGAGGTACAGTAATA